GAGGGAGAGAATTATTGACAGGAAAATTGTTCCTATTCAATTCGCATTATTGATATTATTCAATCAAAGCCACCAAGAAGCTACGTAGCTATCCCACTCGAGGAGAAAAAAGAGAGAGCGAAGGAAGGGTGAGGAACCCTAGAAAAGCTGCATTGCCGCATAAGGGGAGACATGGAGCGAGGTCCCTATAGAATGTGGGAGTGGGAGTGGGAGTGGGAGTGCATCAGATTTCATGCAATGGGTGTCATGTCATTTCATTCCATCCATGGGATGAGACACATATACCCCCCTTACACATTCTCTGCTTACATATATATATTTACCTCTAGCTGGATTTTAGCTAAATTCAATAACAGATACTGGTAGTTAAGTTAGCGAGGTCGATTCTTGTCCTTTGAGATCGAAAATGTCCGCAGAGACAATCACAGATTATAACTATCAAGGCTCAAAGTGTAAGTGAGGACCAAATTAATTGCTAATACAAATTAATTTGTCCTTGAAGTTGTTACATTTCTTGGAAACTACGTCGAACCCATCATTTTTTGATAATGAAAACAAAATAAACTCTTCTAATTATTGAAGCCCAACTTGGTGTAGTACTATTTGATAAATATAATTAATATGGCTGCTTACTTGCTTTCATGATTATGGAAAGCATTAGGCTTTGATAGATACCGTATAGAGGGGCGATAAACTAATAATACAAAGCAAAATGCAGCTGACAGCGATGGAGCAAGCAAAAAAGAATTTAGAGAGAGAAGTTTTAGGTGTTTTGGGTTGCTGAGGTTTGAGAGAGAGAGAGAGATAAGAGGAGAAGGGCAAAGATAGCCCGTGGATCGAGGGAAGGCTGCCCCCACAGAACATTGACGGCGACTAGATTGTCTACCCGTGCTGCCCAAACTGCCCAACCCTGCCCGACAAAGACAAAGGGCTCACAAGCTCCTGTCGTTTTCCGCTGCCCGTCCCACTTCATTAGATAAAGTCAGGGGCACAGGGCACAGGGCAAGCCACCCCCCCCCCCCCCCCCCCCCCCCCCCCCCTCCCCTTTCTTGCTGTCGGCCTTTGGACCCCAAAGTCTCGCGCACCGGACGGCACGCGAGGTCAGGTACCTTCAAGTGTTGTACTTCCAACAACAATAATTTTCTCAAACGACAGAATTCGGGAAACACACCGGTTTTCCCTTTCTTCTTCTTTTATGTGTGTTTTTTATGGCAAAACAAAACTCTGGGTTTTCCTTTTACATGTGCTTTGAATTGGGTAATTTTCTTATTTTTGCCTTTTGCATTCACATTTCATTTTCTTTGAGGGGGTCGCCTGTGTTAGTTTTTTTAAAGCTCTGGTCTTCTCTTCTTCCTGAACTGTACAAAGACACATTCTGGCACCTGTTTTCGTTTTCATACATGGGGTCTTTTTCAGACACGATTGATGACAGGATTTCAGAACAGGGACATCTCCGAATTCCCACCTTAAAAGCAGATACATATTCATAAATTAGTAGTATCAAAGGAAAACCAAGGCCTTTTTTTTGGACCCAAGTGGGATTGATGTGTGTATATAGTTTTTCTTTTTGACATAAATGTCCCTCCCATGCAAGTTGTTTGATTCAATGTGTTTAATTAATTATTTGGTTAAGATTAATGATGGAGTCGACATGTTAGGTTAACTAACCTAGTGTGGAATGTCGGTGAAAGCAAATTCCTTCACTCAACTTTGATTTTTGGTATAATGGTACTATTTTAGGCTAAGACAGGCAACTCCACTTGAAACTCTTGGTTTAACCTTAATTGCCCCTTATGTTTCTCCTGTTTTGCGTGCATGCTAATGCTCCCATGATCTGAATTACAATTCTAAAGTTGGAAAATTATCAAATTTTATATGATGATAAATCCCTCGTATCAACCAAATTTTGGGTTTATATATATACAAGTATTTTTCTCGTCCAATTCCTTCGATAAAACAATTTGATATATAAAATTGTTTAATTGCAATAAAACTTTAAAGACACATGAAATAGTATATCTTAAAATCACTTTTAATCAAATAACTAAATTGAATTAAGTTGCTAGATGTACATGCTGTTAGTCATTAAGACTGAATTAAATATTCTACCAAATTTAAATTAAGTTAAAAACTTGGATTAGCATCATGCACTAATATCATTATCAATATATGATAAATTGCTTTTAAAAAACAAAAAAGTTGCTAGATGAAAATTAGTAGAGAGAAGATAATTTTCTTTTTCTAAAGGGAATGCCGTATTTATCCTTTTTCTATTAGCAAGAGCCAAAATTGAAAGCTTAAGATAATCCATATGAACACAAAAATTCTAAAATGGAAAACTAGGTCAATGTTCTTTCTTGTATTTCTTTGAAAAATGTCATTGGATTTGATATGATCAAATAGGTATTGGGCCACCATCTGATTAGACTATTGAAGTACTCATCAAGTCGATGGGATTTGACATGCGGTAGACTTTTCTTAACTATAAATAGGGTTAGGTAATGCCAAATTATATTTATACAAGTAATTGCACATTGTTTCACTATATGATTGAAAAACTACTAAATTAATCTTGTAATATCCTCACAAGTGAAATTAAGATTCATAATTTCCTTCACAGTTGATAATTTTAGGATCATGGAGATGGTGATTGACAAGTGGTTCCACAAACCAGAGACATGTAGACCCCTCCATTCCCATCTGATCGTTTTCTTTCTTTTCCACTTCCCCAATATTTGATCTTCTCTCTAAAGCCGTTCCCAATTTCTAGCCACGACTTCATTATATGTCTTACAGACACGAGTTGTTCACACAATCATTTTATACGGACAACTGTTGGTCAATTCCATGTTTTGGAAACAGTGGTTTGAATAAGCAGTAGCAAACAGATGAAAGGGTGGGGGGTTTATATCACGTTGATTTGTAAATTGTCTTACATTATATTAGGTAAAACAGTGGCTAATTTGAGGACCTTTCAGTCGCATGTCCATGACCTGAGGGGTCTCTTTTTTGTACCTTTCTGGCGAAATTTTCAGCATGAAACTTCCTCCCAAGTGTGAGCCAATTCAGACAGCTAAAGCAGTCAAATCAATGCCGGTCTCCCACAATTCCCTGTTTTTTTTCTTTTTTCCTTTTGTGTGTGTGCAGATCCATATTGAAGTCCTCTTAAGGGTTGGATTGGTGTTAGGTATAATGGAGTAGATACTACAGAATACAGTGATTTTCAGTAGCACTACTGCTACTACCTACTCATGAGTCGTGACTTGTGACACGAATCTTATTATTTTGTCATTTATTATCAAACTTTATAGCTTCTTTTTCAATCAGCTGTTGCTTGAATGGTACAAATCTTACCTTTAAAGGACATTTCCTTTTGCATACGAATTGATATTATTACATTTATATATATATGTCAAATTTTTAGCAAAATAGATGATTTTGGGGGTTACATTCCTTGCCAAAGAACCATCGTTACTTTTGTTTTTATATTGGACTCCATCGTTTTTTTCTTTTTCTTTATACATATTCCTTTAAGCCCCAATTTGGTCAATTTATTTTTTATTTTCCAAAACAAAAAAAAGGGGTAAAAAACACGTTTAGATATCAAAATAAATTAAATTTTTGAAAGATTATATATAAAATACATAATATTTGTCCATTTTAAATCAAGGGTATTTAATTATGAGTAAGTGGACTCTTATACCACCCAATTTTAATTTAAAAATAATTTTTTAGGGATTAATTTGTAACAACTTTTAATTAATATTTTTAAAAATATTAATAGAAGAAAACTTCAAGTTTACAATATTTTCACTTTTTATATTCGAAGAATCAAAATGACATCTCCTGTCAATCTCATTGCTGTGACTAAAGTAATATATATCTCTGCAAAATCGTCCTTCATGGCTCTTAATTTTTTAATCAATTTCAGAAATCTATCTTCCATAGATGATTGAACCCAATGTGATGATCATAAATCTTGTCATTCATATCCACACGTGTGAATAATTGCTCATTTTTACCACTCGAGAAATGAAGCAAAATGTGTGGCACGCAGGGTCGATAGCAATATTGCAATCATCGTGGTTCGTTCATGCACTGGGGCTCCTGGCCGAATTATGTATGGTGGGAGGGGCCGAATTCAAGCCATAAGTCTCGGTCAGTGGCTTTATAGTTGGGGGTGGGGACATCAAGCTTTACACGTACTTCATTGTGATTAGCCCTTCCTTGAACTCGTAATCATGGCTTTTGAACACCAATATCTTCCCCAAGAAAAACACAAACCTATCCAGAGATTATTATTATACATTATTCCGCTTGCAAAACTTTGATTACTGTTATCATTATCAAATTCTCTACTACTGCTAGCTCCCCATCCCACTTTCAGCATTTAAAATGCTTTTCATAAATCGATATTAATTAAATACAGTACTGCAGGCACTACCTACTAGGAAGAGCCATTTCCAACCATTAAGAGAATTTTAATTACCATAAACACCTAGAGGACTAAATGATTGAGAAAAAGGGATCCAGTTAAGCTAATTAAAGTTAGTGGGGGCAATGGGCACATGTGCCTTATAGGTCTATATAACTTATTTTCCTTACTTAAATCCTCATGATCTGTTAAGGTTTTTGAATTACATTCATTTTGATCGAAAATTTAAAAATTTAACTAGTAGAAAGATAATATATGTAGTGGAAAGAATATTAGTCACGAAATTAATTCCAGAAATGAAAAAAAGTGCAGACAATGTGTTGCACGCAAACCAGATAGAAAATATTATAAGAGAAAAGCATGTGTTTGATCATGGATTCCTTGCTGCTTTCATATTAGGGGAAATGATAAAGGTAATAATGGGGTCTTGTCAAATTAGACTATTTATAAGTAAAGAACGGCATGATAATCAGAAGGGTAGACTAGGAATTGGAGAAAAAGGACCACTACACTTCACTCCAAGAACCGCTTACATTCCTAATCCTGAACCCAATTGCTTTTTGAGATAGAATAGAGACTAACAGAAAGCTTCATTCCCGTTGATTGTATGGGCTATATTAAAGCGCTCCCACCCTCTATCCTCTATTCTTTTGCACCCAAAAAGAAAAAAGAAAAGAAAAAAAACATCAGAGCCATTCAACTGAACTCACAAAGGCAAGTCATGTTTCCACCTCCATCCTCTCTCTCTCACTCGCACACACACACACACACACAAGTTAATACACAACAAAACCTACTTTAGCTTTTCCACTAACTCAAAAAAGGACTCACCCTTCTTTGCTTTTCTTGTTTTTGGATTGTTGTAGATCTATACAAAGAAGAAAAGATGATTCAAGAACTCCTAGGAGGTGCAGGGTTAATTGGTGGAGAGAGGAAAATCTCCATCGGTGGAACCATTTTGGAGGGAACCCCAACTGCTACTCCATCACCATCTCCTTCTTCCTCCACAACTTCATCGTCAACAACTACAACTACTAATTCTACAGCTCCAGCAAATTCAGAGAACCAGAATTTGAGGTGCCCCAGGTGTGATTCCCCGAACACGAAGTTCTGTTACTACAACAACTACAACCTCACTCAGCCTCGTCACTTTTGCAAGACTTGCCGTCGGTATTGGACAAAAGGAGGTGCTCTTAGGAATGTTCCTATTGGAGGGGGATGCAGGAAGAACAAAAACACTACTGTTTCAGCATCTGTGGGAAAATCAAGTGCTGCTAAGATGAAAACTGTAGCATCTGAAATTGGAAGATCTGGCCTTGGAAATGGGTTTGATCATGAGCTTCAGTCTAGCCCAATTCTTTGGGCTTCACCCCAGAGTTCTCATCTTCTAGCCTTGTTGAGAACTACCCAAAACCCTAACCCTAATACTTTGTCTAATCCTGTTAGTATTAAGGAAGAGGTGAGCTTGCTTGGATCACACATGATGAACGAGCCAGCAGCAGTTTCAACTGGTGCACTCAATGCTCGAACCCTAGGCTTGGATCCTCTTAGCCAGGTTCCTTCTCTTGGACTTTGCAGCCCTTTCTGGAAAAACAGTCAACACCAAGCTCAACAGCACCAACAGAACAATGGGTTCCTACCAGGTGAAGTTCAAAGCACAGGGATTCAAGAACTGTATCAAAGACTCAAATCATCAGCAAGTTATTACTCTGATAGCTCAGCGGTAGTTCTAAGCAATGTGGCTTCTTCTTCATCTTCTTCATCCATTTTGGAGTCAGCTCCTGTAGCCGGAGGAGAATTGGGTTACTGGAATCCGGTATTTTCATCATCATGGTCTGATCTTCCAACAACCAATGGTGCATATCCTTAAAGAACCCTTTTTTTTTTTTTAAACTTCTCTTTCATTTTATCTCACCTTTTTATATGCTAATGTTGTCGCTTCTTCTGTTAGCTGTCTGCCTTCTGGTATATTAATATGGCTGTAGGTTAGCATCAGGTTGTTTCTTTCTTTTCAATTCTTTTCTCTTTTTCTTCTTCTTGTCTCGTTTAAGTGTGCTTTAAGGTGTGTTTAATTAACTTATGAAAGTGTACCAAGGATGAAGAAGGAAGTAAAAAGATGGAAAATGTTAGGTGTTTTTCAACGCTCCATGTTGAAAATTGTAACCTTTGACATAGAATACCATCGTTAATTTGTCCTCTAAGATTCCTTCTACAGATGGACTGGAGCTTAATTTCTTAGCCAGGTGTGTAAAAGGGTTCAAGTTCAACTTAAAGAGTTAAGACAATGAAAGTATAGTGAAGTTGCTTTCCTGTAGTTTCTGAGACTAAAAAAAGAATACCACAACCACACAAATTGAAAGAGAATAGACAGACACATGGCTACAACTTTTTTATTTTGGTTAACTCAAAAACTTTATGGTTTCTTTTTCTAATTTTTGTATAAAACTGAGAGACTGGTGGAGGTGTGTCATGAACTGGTGGGTTGCATATGAAATTGAAGATTCTCTAATTGTTTTGTTATGAGAAAGTGATGAAAGAAGTTTCAAAGCAGTCTTTGGGAAGAGTTTCCGTAAACAGCAATTTGATTCTCGCAGTGGAAAGGAGGATTCCGCCTGCAGCCTTATGCTAAAGAGTTGGTGTCCGCCCTTGCCTGCTACTCTGGAGACTAGCCTTCAGTTTTATTCCCTTCACTCCCTTTTTTATTTCTTTTTAAATAATTTCAAGCCCGTACTTCTTCACTTTTTTTAACATTTCGTTCAATTTTTTGGAGAGATAGGGTATAGATACTTTCCGCATGCAAGGCGACATGGGCTGGAGCTTTCTTGCTTTTCCCTCTGAAACTTGATTTCTTATGACCTTTAGGTGTCATAAATCTTCCAATTAATGTTTGTGATCTAAGCTCTCTAGGGACTCCTCATCTAGTGTCATCCCTCTGCCGAGTATAATAAACACATTGTTCCCATTGCTAGAATCCTATATTCAGGATAAGGTCTTCCCTTCCTCTATAGCTGGGGTGAAAACTACATTTGTAGGATTATACAGATGGACGCCAAATTAGAATTTCTTTTTGTTTCTCATTTGTCATTTAGCAGGTCGGTTACTGTTAGTTTTTTTTTTTTTTCAAATGAAATATTGAAACGGACAAACTGCTCTAACTCTCATGCTAGGATGCAAATATATATTTACTCATCTTGTCGAGGAGTTTACACTGGTGCTTGAATTAAAATTCCTTACTGTCAAGATAAACGCATTAATGGATTGAGCCAAGCACTTATTGGTTGACTGTTAGCTACTTTGTTGTTTAACATTTTATCTCAAAACCATACAAAAAGAGAGAGAGAGCCTCAGTTTCGTATGCCGTAATCTCTCAAGCGGCCCTCACCAAACAACATGGCTTTAGCTAATGATTATGGCAAAGATGTGTACCAATTATAGGTCCTATTTGTGCAAATTACGCTACAATCTGATGATTGCTGTTGGTCATTTTCATCATCATTCAAACCATACTTCTTTTTACTAGCAGATCTCTAGCTTTGTCAATCACGGATGGAAACACTATGCGCTCTGAGTTTGCGGCAGAATCAATTGAAAATTGAGTGCTATACTTTGTCAAACTTGGGTGCATATTCACGCAGCATATTTATCAGTTGAATGAGCTGGCTATTGACTGGATGAAACTTGCTTTTCAAGCATCACATGGGCCATGAAATATTGAGGAACAGCATGCCACAAAGATTGAGGAGGAAAATGTTTATTGTGATTACGATAGAAAGTAATCAAGCTACCACAACAAATCTATAATTTTTGCTTGCCCTCTTTTGAAGCCTAACTTCCCCCCATTTTTTTTCTCTTCCTAACAATCACACCCTCGTAACTGAAATCGAAGGGGAAAATTTAGGGAATTAGCTGATGAAGACAAATAAATTACACCAATGAGAATATTGTTTCTATAAGTGAGCGGCCTTGCCACAACGTAGAGCATTTGGAGGAATGCCAGTCTCAGTAAACAGGCTTTTTTCGTTGCTCCAAACTCTGAGATAACATTGCTGGCCTAGGTACCTCTTGGACCAGTCTTGCGACCTCAGGTTCCACATACCTTTGTTGTCCAGTGACACCAGGATTGCGGTCCAGGAAGTTGGATATACCTACCAGGAGTTTTGCTAATTAAGTTAATGTGTTCTATTTTTCATGAATTCAAGATTAAAGACTCCACATTTCCAAGCCCTTATTTTGTATAAATTGCTCTCAATTACCTGAACAGTGTGTCTAGAAATTGCATCCACCAGGTTGTAGCGTTTCCTTGAGTCAGGTTTCCACTGGCCAGAACCATATCTGAAATTTCAAAAAAAGAACATGTTAAATGATTAATGCTCCATAAAAGTAATTAAACTCCTAAATTGCTGAGCTAAAGTACATTAAGAATTACATTCCAATATTGTGAAAGATTTCTTCTTTAGCAAAATTAAGTAATGAATTTTTTTTTTCTGATTATTTGGTCGCAAGGTCTGAATAATGATCTCCAAGTATGGTGACCCTCATGAGAGTTGGGAGAGCAAACTCAAAAAAAATACAGAATGTACAGAAGCATACCCTACAACATTGAAGCTAGAGCCATCAAGATGCCATGACTGGATGGCGGCTTCGGTGTTCTGGAAGACAATCTCAACAAAGTCATGAAGGGTGATTCCAAATACAGAGACGCCGAGGACTGCAGGGCCTGAAGTAGGAACATCCTTGATCGAATTTAATTTGAAGACACCAGGGATGTTAAACCAGTCTGCAAGCTTCAATGGAGTGGTTGGATCCACATAGGATATCCCGTTAACAGCATACCGCAATTTACCATTTATCTTGGCTTTTGCATTAGCCAAAACAAGTGTCCTCACAACCTTTATTGTCCCATAGTGGAATGAACCTTGAGGATTAGGCCTGGCTGCATTTGCTGTCAAGTTCGTTCTAAAAACACAAATATGGGAGAACGTTACGGTGCATGATTAGCAATTATTTGCATATGTAAAGAGCAAACAGATATTCCTGGAAGATCGATGGTCGACTACCTGATAGTCCTGGCTTGCTTCATGGACCAGTGAACTTGAAAAGTTGGGCCTATAGGCAATGGCAAAGAGGCTGGAGTGTGGGAACCCTCATAGCGAAGAACACCGGTAGTTGTGAGAATAGGCTTTGTGAAACGGGTGGAAGCCACAATGTAGTAGTCTTTAACCGACGCTAGTAATTCAACCAAAACCGCTACAGATTGACCGGCATGAATATCAATGGACTCGTACAGCTCCTGCAGACTATGACTTCCTTCAACTTCAATAAGAGTCATTGGATGACCCTGGATCCTGAAGTTGATTGATGTTGATATACCCACATTTGTAATCCTAAACTTGTATGTTTTCCCTGTAATTAAGCAAAAATCCAAGAAATATTTAGCATAGATTTATACTGAATCCTCTGTTTAGCCTAAGAAAGCAAAAGGCTAGCTAAAGGACTTGATGAGCATAATTACCTCTCTGACCAGTGAAAGTATAAGATCTACGGACACCATTAATAAGGAGGCCATCTGGAAGAGGAAGACCCAAGCCTGAATCCAGCCTTTCCTTCAAGGCCTGTAAAAATGTGTTTTAGTTAGAACATTATCTCACATGCATAACAATTGGAGCCGTAGAGCTCTTATAATTGAAAGATAGCATACCTTGTCGCCAGCGTTGTACCAATCACCAACAAGCACAGTGAATTCTCCATCAGGTGCAGGGTATGGGATTGAGATCACAGACCTTTGCATAACATTGAGAGCCCCAAAACCACCAATGGCTCTGTGCAGTAAAGTTGAAGGATAGTACATGAAGGTTCCAATTTGATCCTTCAACTGGAATTTGTATGTCCAGTTTGAGTGGGGAGGGATTGGGCAATTGGTCCCAAGCACACCATCTTGCCATGAGGTCCTCCTCTGTTTAATTCCATGCCTAATTTCCACAACAAAATCTTGGTTATAAACCTTGATCACGAATATGAGAATTAATAGCATATGCATACGTCAGTAAAGAAGCTTCCAATCGTGTAGTAATTAAGGAGGAAGGTGAGCACTAACCATGTAACGAGGAAGGGTTCATCTAATTGATTGATGACATTTATAATTATGTTGTCATTAGTCACAGCTTCAATTGGAGGTCCAGGAAATTGATTATTAATAAGAATGACCTGCAAATGTTGAGGAAAAGTTCTGCTTAATTAGAATCCCTGTATGTAAATGCGATGGTGAATGGTTTAAAGGGCAAAGTATTTTTGTTTGATATTTTTGTCAATCAGTATGTGATCAGAGGGTTAAGACTGTACTCTTTGCAGCCTTTGACCCTCATCTGTTTGTACATGAACTTTCTTTCTCTACGAATGAACCCTAACTTTCAAAAAAAAAAATAGAATTCCTGTAAAAGCAAACCTGTGTTTGATGAACATTGTTCTTTCCAAAACAAAAATTGATGCTTGGAGATAGAAACAAACCTTTTGGTAAACACCAAGAGGAGCCCGTGTTCCATATGTGACAACCCAAGTATAGTCTCTATATGGGTCTTCTGCATTGGCGCAGAAGACAATAAAGCAAGCCAATATTCCAAGTAAAAATTGAAGGAAAACGGCCTCTCTCATGTTTTATCTGAAGTGTTTGCTCCCCCAATTTAGTCTTCGTGCCCTGAAGATATACAAAGAAAGGACAAACACGATGAACTTCATAGATATATTTCTCGTATTCCTAACTTGATTTTGTATCTTTGAACGTAAAATTGAACTATATTCAAAGAGGAGAGACCTACCAAGAATTCCAAGTCTTCCCCCAGAAATGGAAGTGGACGAGGATGAGACTTTGTCAGAGTCGTGTATAAACATGGAACACAGCCTTAGTTATTATATATTGGGAACGAAGATGATGCAAACACCAGCATGGACACGACAACAATGCATGCAAAGCTCTTTTGCGGCGCACTTCATGCTCAACTCCAACAAGCTTTCACAACTCATTTCAGCTGAAACTATTGCCAACTTGATAATTTGACTAGAACTTCTTGCAAAAAGCAGAACCCTCCAATGAGAGATTTTTTTTAAAAAAAAATTATATATTAATTTTTCTATTTCCGTTTGTATTTCTCTGTTTTAATCATTTCGGATTTGGAAACGTCGGCTGTGGCGGGAGGGGAAGGAAGATCTAGAGAAGCGGGAACGGCGCAGCCGAGCTCGGATCATAAGTCATTGCCAAGAAGTTAATCGATTCGACTTCCGGAATTAAATTAATCCAAACGAAACGCGGATAGAGAAATGGGTTTTAATGAAGAGACTCTGTTCCAAGTAAAGTAGGAAACGGTCGTCGTTGCTCAATGCTCACATGTAAACGAAGCAAGAACCGAAGACAAATGTCACGGGGCGATTCTTAAGACCACCTTCGTGCGGCCTTGGATTCAGCCCTTAGCTCGGCAGTAGAACCCAAGTCAGCCTTATTCACCCGACAAGCGCTCAACACCCGCACAATGGCTTTAAGCCGGCAAGCAAGCTTGCATAAACAAGGAAGGAAAAATGGGAAGAGAATGCTAGAGAAAAACTAAACTCTCTATATGGAATGAATTGAAATACAAAGGATGCAAGAATGGATGCAAAAATGGAATGATATTACACAATGGTGATGGGGCTATTTATAGCCAAGGTTCCCCACCCACTTTTCCCTCCAAAGTTTTTAATTCAAAATTTCCCCCAAAAGATTTCCCTCCAAAGTTTCAATTCAAAGTATTCCCCCCAAAGATTTCCCTCCAAAGTTTTGGAAGGTTCTAGAAATTCGGTTTGGAGGGAAATTTGAATTTTCCAGCAGCCCCCCTACATGGGTCTAGTCGTGGCACCCTCTTGGGCCTCCTGGCGGGTCCGGACTATGTCACTTCTTGGGCCTCCTGGTGGGTCTGGACTGTGGCCCGTGACACCCTCCCCCACCTAAGCTGGCAGCGTCCTCGCTGCCGTGTGGAAGGCGTTAATCCAATCTTGGAACTGCCACAAATCTTCTGCAGACTCCCAACTAACTTCACTCTCGGGCAATCCCTTCCATTTCACCAGGTACTGATGTTGAGGCATGTGATGCTTTCGTCGAAGTACTCTATCGGCCAGCACTTCTTCTACCTCTTTGTCGTACGTTGCTCGAATGCCTACTGGTGCCCTGTTGCTCACCCTTCGGCTAGGGTCCTCTTTATCTGCATGGTAGGCTTCAGCATGCTGACATGAAATACAGGATGCACCTTTGGCTTGAGCGGCAAGTCCAACTTGTATGCCACCTGGCCGATTCTCTTGATTACCCGATATGGGCCCTCGTTCCTTTCAACAAGGCCCTTGTGCAAGCCTCTTGTTCCTCAAAATAAGGTGTAGCTTCACCATCACCTAGTCCCCTTCGCTGAAGTGAGCTTCCAGTCGGGTTTGATCTGCCCACTTCTTTGCCCTTTTTGCAGCTTTGTGGGACACGTTCGAGCTAAGTCCCGCTGCTCTTCCCAGCCCCTAGCGGTTTTGTATGCCGCTGGTGCGACACCTGTATAGCCCACGACAATGGCACTTGGTGTGTGGGGCTGTTGTCCAATCACGATTTCGAACGGGCTTTGACCGGTGGACTCGCTGCGCTGTAGGTTATGCGAGAATTGTGCTATGTCAAGCCACTTTGGCCAGTCGGACTGCGTGCCCTCACGAAGTGCCTTAAGTAGAGCTCCAGCAATGCATTCACCCGCTCGGTTTGTCCATCCGTCTTGTGGGTGGTTGCTGGTGGAAAAGCACAATTCAGACCCCAACAGCTTTAATAATTCCGTCCAGAATTTTCCCGTGAATCGGCCATCCCGATCGCTGATGATGGTGTGCGAACGCCCCAGTTAGACAATGTTCTTTAAGAACAACTTGTGCTTCTTCTGTCTTTTGAGGCTCTGTTATAAAGGTGGCATGTTTCGAAAATCTATCCACCACCACCATAATGCTACCGAACCCATCTGCCTTGGGCACCCATTGAAATCCATGCTTACGCTGTCATGGTTTTTCTGGTATTGGCAGTGGGTTGAGTAATCCCCTTGGTCGCTGCTGCTCAACCTTGTCTTGTTGGCACACCAAGCAGGTCCGCACATAGCTTTCAATGTCATCTTCCATTCTAGGCCAGTAATAACTGGCGCTTACCATGCCATCGTCCGATGCATCCCCGGATGCCCTGCCACGGACTGTCGTGGCATTCTTTCAATAGCTGTGTTTCGCAAGCGCCCCATGCTGCGGAACATAGAGCCTATTGCCCTTGGTGTATACTAGCCCTCTTTTACCCAAACCGCCTGTCTTGCCTACCGTGGCATGCTCCAGTATGGATTGCGCGGTCGGGTCGCTTGCCATGCCATCCCGAATGAGAGGTAGCAGCTCTGTGCGCACTTCACTGATGCAGCCAGTGTAGCCTTTGCTTAAGGCGTAGCCACGGAGTTAGCCTTGCCTGCCTCATACTCCACTCATAATCGAACTCTGCCAAAAAGTCTTGCCATCTGGCTTGTTTCGGGTTAACTTCTTTTGGCTTTGAAAGTAGGATGTGGCCACATTATCAGTCCGCACTACAAATTTGGCCCCAATAAGTAGTGCCGCCATAATCGCAAGCAATGCACCACTGCCGTCATCTCTTTTCCTGAACCGTGTACCGTCTCTCGGTATCGTAGTTTTCGGCTTTCATACGCCGATTGGATGCGCCACTCTGCATTAGTACCCCGCCAATGGCAAAGTCATTGCATCCGTATGTACCTCGTACGGCAGTAATGATCCGGCAATCTCAGCACCGGTTGTTCACTCATTGCCTGTTTTAGCTGATCAAAGGCATGTTGGCTTGCGGCATTCCATTCCCACACCCGGCCTTTCTTCAGCATGTCCGTTAGTGGTGCCGCAATGCTTGAGTATCCTTTGACAACCGGCGGTAGTAGTTGGCTAACCCAAGGAAGGATCTTAGCTCCCTTACTTGGCAGGCGGTTCCCATTCCTGGATAGCACTTACTTTGGACGGGTCCATCCGGATTCTGCCATCCCCCACAATGTGCCCTAAGAATGGCACCTCATGCAAACCAAGCAACATTTTTCCCTTTTCACGAATAGCTCATGCTGTCTAAGGGCCTCAAAAACAAGCCGTAGGTGTTCAACATGGTCTTGTAATGAGTGGCTATAGACAACAATATCATCAAGGTATACAACTACGAATTTGTCAAGGAAGGGTTGTAATACCTTGTTCATCAGAGTACAGAATGTTGCTGGTGCATTGGTTAATCCAAATGGCATAACCAAGAACTCGTATTCCCCATAGCGAGTTACGCAAGCCGTCTTGGATATGTCTCCCCGCAGCTATCCTCACCTGGTAGTACCCCGATCGTAAGTCCAACTTTGAAAACCAGCGCGCATTCCCAGCTGATCGAACAAGTCAGCTATAAGTGGGATCGGGTACTTGTCTTGACCGTGAGCTTGTTCAAAGCTCGGTAGTCGATGCATAGCCTTAAAGACCCATCATGTTTCTTCTGAAACAATACGGGAGCTCCGAAAGGGATTTGGATGGCCTGATAAATCCAGCGTCAATAAGCTCCCTAAGCTGCTTTCTCAGTTCTGCTAGCTCGGGAGGCGCCATCCGATATGGTGCCTTGGCGGGCGGCTGTGCCCCTGGCACCAGCTCGATATGATGGTCCACTTCTCGTGCGGGAGGCAAGTGGCCTGGCAGCTTAGGAGGCATTACATCTTGGAATTCCTCCAGCACCTCTAGGACTTCTACCGGTGCCTTTATTATATTGCCGGGGGTGTCTTCTAGACTCAGCACCGCAGCAAATGTCTGCTCACCTTTGCGCATGCCCTTGGCTAGCTGCATGGCAGACAATGTTTTTGTTGGCTGAGTACGTCCTCGTCTGACTGGCACTACGCATTGCCCCTTTTGATCCAAGATGCAAATGCAATCGTTGTGCGGCACCGAGACACAGCTTGGACTCTGTCTAGGAAGCCGATCCCCACGGCTACATCATATCATCCATCGGGATGATCTCAATGTCCACAGCTCCATGCCACTGGCCAAGTTGCACATCGATCCCCTGGCAATGCCCTTTGTGCGCACTCTCTTAGAGTTCACAGTTTTTACCCAGCCGCCTGCGCTATTAGATTTGATGCCTAGGTTAGCAGCACATTGTTCGGACACGAAGAGTTCAGAAGCGCCCGTATCCACCAGTGCCTCCACCGATTGTCCTGCTATGATCATATCAGCATACATGAGCCCCTTGGCTCGACTACTCGTCTTGCTTACTGCCCCAGCAGCACTGAGCCCAATCGCGCTGCCTGGTCTGATTGTGGCTCCTCCTCCGAGGCTATCGCCACTAGCTTGGTGCGCTTTGGGCAATCTCGGACCCGATGTGGTCCGTCACACAAGAAGCAACCCGTCGGTTGGTCCTCCTTGTTTCTGAAAGATCTCCATTTTGAGGTAGAATTACCTCTCCATTTTGATTGTGGCTTGCCCTCGCCACCATCCTTAGGCTGGTTATCTCTGTCCGCCCAGCCCTTATCTTTGTACTGCCTATTTTTATCCGCCCATCCCCTACCTTTATCCTTTGGCTTGGATGGCGTAGGTTTGTCCTTGTCGGCTCGGGAGTAATC